CGCGTTGCTCTCAGGAGCTCCGTGAATTCCAGCGTTTTACGGCGATGGGATGCACCTTCTGCAATAAGGTGAGTTTTGACATTCCCTCGTTACTAAAGACTCCACAGAGAGCTGTGAGTGGAAGCGAACAACAAAGTGGGAGCGATGGGGAAGGACAGCAACTCAGCAACCAAGCGGTAAGCAACGTAAAACACAGATGCTGAAGTACCTAGTGGCCAACTGTCAGTACAGACCTCCAAACTTCATGTGGCCTTCAGATGAAACTGGTGCTTCATCCCAGCCTTACATCACCAAGCCCAATGCAAAGCATCAGATGTAGCGGTGTAAAGCACGCCGCCACAAGACTCCAGAGCAGTGAAGGCGTGTTCTCCCTCTCTGGGAATCTGATGGATGAATCATCTGTTGTGACTACATCAACCTCACACACTCACTCAGGCTCTTTCAAACATCTGAGTTTCTGCGCCCCAGTGGCCGGCCTCAGCACCAGTGCATCGGGCTGCTTCTGCCCTCGACGTCCCATCTGACGCTTGGAGAGCCCACAGGAAGCTGGGCCCATGTTGTTTGTTCAGGCTGCACCAGGTCATCAGACACCCTCCCTAGACTCAGTGCTGGAGCTCTGAGTGACAAATCTGTCACAGGGGCCATCTAAATGGCTCTTTGGATCAGGTGGTGGTCAGATGATCAGATCATCGTCCCATACCATGAAAATGTAAATAATATGAAAGCATTCATAAGCTCCCTTTATTAACACACTTCAGCTAGAACATAAAAACCACATATAAAGTTCTATAGGTCCCTGTCATGCCATGAAGCGGCTCTGACCCACTGGTGGGAAAACGTGAAAACTTCTTCACAAGCTGATCATTATTAACATGTCCCAAAACCTTTAATCTAGCAAAGCATTTACAAGTGGAAAGGCCACTGAGTTTAATCTGATAAAATGAGAGTTTGGCATTTAAACCACAAATCTTATTACATATTAAAACTGCAGAATGCACGTTGCTATAAATTGTTAATGCAATTAAAACTCTTTAAAGCTTTTTAAAGACATTGAAGAATTGTTCTGTCTTTTTAACAACTTTCAAAGCTTTGTTCAGCCTTCAGGTGAAGCGAGCCGACCCGGGGAAATAAAGACGGAAACAATTCATCAGCAGTAAGAAGTTTAATTCTTTTGTTTGTTTCAAATTTGACCAAAGCTGCCATGTTAGACCTGAGCATGTAACATTCCTGTTTGGGTGGTTAACCAACTGTTCACAGTCTCATCTGAAGACATGCAGTGTGTCAGAGTTTGAACTGCTCACAGCCCCACATACAGAGCTTTAATCCAGGGCTGCAGCCTGGAAGCTGCTGTGTCCATCCACCTGCAGGTAAACACAGGCTGTGTGTGAAAGCTGCAGCTTCATCACCAGTGTTACAGAAGGAGTCTTCAGTTAGTGCACAGCAATAACAGCACATTAAAACTACTGTGGTTATTTTCTGTTGCTGTGTGTGTTGTGTGTGTGTGTTGTGTGTTTGTTTTTGTGTGTGTGTGTGTGTGTGTGTGTGTGTGTGTGTGGTGTGTGTGTGTGTGTGTGTGTGTGTGTGTGTGTGTGTTTCCAAACCCGATGATGGTGAGCATGGCCATGATGCCATTAAGAACAGCAACTCCATATCCCACGTGGAAGCCACGGTCAGAAGCGTCTCTAGAAGAAGAGAGATATTATTGATTAGTGTTATTTTAATATCAAGAAATTAAATGTACAGTACTGTAAAACTGTTTTACAGTACTGTACATTTAAGTATAATATAGAGTATAAAAGTATTTCCCTTTTTTTCACATTTGTTAGACTTAAATGTTTCTTAAATAGCCAATCGAATAAATACAAATGCAGGTTTTAAATCATTATTTCATTCATTAAGGGGACGAAAGAACACAAAGGCTCGCTGCTTCGGGAACAGCGGGTGTCTGTAACTCAGGAGGTTGGTGGTTTGATTCCTCACTGTTTAGATCTACGTGTGAAATATCTCGGGCGAAATACTGAACCCCAGGTTCCTCTCTAATGCATCTGTTGGACTGTGAAGTCCCCAAAAACAGCAGCAAATCCACCTCTGAATGGCTCAATAACTAAATGAAGGTTTGGCAGTGACCCAGTCAAAGTCCAGACTGAAACCAGATTGAGACTGTTTGGCCTTAAACAGGCTGTTCATGCTGGAACAAGGGCCAGTTACTTTAGAAGAGTTCAGGGACCAGGTAGATTAGGATAGATTGTCTTAATAAATGAAAACTACACTTGGTATTTACTCAAGTTTTCTTTGTGTAATATTCAAATTTGTTTGATGTGAAGAACAGAAGAGAAAAAACGTGTAAGAAATCAGCATTATAAGGGAGAATTCCTGATTCTTCTGCCCATACAAAGCGTATCCCAGCGTGTTACCTGACGTGGGCCACTGTCCGCAGTGTCGGGAAATCCATACCAGGCTGGAACGAGTCAAGGTAGGTGAGCATCCACGAGAAGACACAGCAGATGCATCCTACTAATACTGACAGGACCAGGAGACTCCAGAAGCCTGATTACACACAGTGCAGGATCAGGGTTTACAGTTTCTACAGCCTGGATCTCTTCCCTTGTTTTACACAATAAGGGAGAAACCACTGTTGGAGCAACAGCATGGTCCTTGTCACACTGAGTTTGACTGCTTACACTCCGTACTGATAAAACATGTTTTTGTTTTGGTGTTACAATAAAAACAATATTTACAGAAACACAGAACTTTTGGACAGCAGGTGACCCACAGTCTAAATAAACATGTCTATGGCAAAGTTGTTGTTATGTGCATCTCTTTTGTTACTTTAGTAAACATTAGTTTCTAAGATTTTGCAGAATAATAAGTAATGAAAGCTGCAGCCCTCAGATATTTACACCAGTTACTTTGTACAGTACTTTTCAGAAATGTTGAAACATGGTATTAGAGCTTTCTCTAAGTATATGTGCTGCACATGGAACCAAAGACAGTGTAAACCGAGCATGATGGTGAACACAAGTATCTGGACGGAGCAGTAAATGCAGAGCTTATACTTACCGAGCATCTTCTCCTCAGTGCCATCCTCTCCTGTCACCCTCTCTGCCCGCAGCTCTGAAACAATCACAACTTATGCTGACCAACACTTGTTAAAAAGCCAGATCCCATCTGGTCCTGTGCCAGACGAGCACTTTAACAGAGCTCGGAAATAAAAACAAGTTTTATATATATATTATAATGATATAATAAATATTTGACATGTCAGCAGTTTTCTAAGTAAATATATTTCTCAACATGTTATAAGGTGTTACTGACATGAGATTCTCACCAGCTGTCGGCAACAACCCATCCAGTCCACACATGCAAAGAAATCATCCACAGATGTGCATTTATTCATTATTATGTGTAATAATGAAACATTATTGAACAAATGTATTTAATACTTAAAGCCTTTGCTGGTGATGACTGTATTATAAACATGCCTTTGGACTGACCGATCATCCGACAGTAAAAACTGTTTTTCCTTTTCTGATCCCACTGATCTGATCCTGATTTGCGCGTGCGGTACAGGGCCGCGCGCTTACCTTTGAGTATGGGGTAGATGAGGGCGCAGAGAAACCCGACCGCGGCCACTGCTCCGGCCGAGCCCAGCACCGACAGCGCGACCACGGGCCATGGTTTGGGGCCGTTCCGCCTCGCGCTCCTGGCGGGCTCCTGTCCGAACATGTAACGCTGCTCACGCAAACGAACAAATGAAAACGTCTGCAAATCAAACCTTTTCACAGCCGCGCTCAGCAGAACGCAGCGTTCTTATACACACAGGGACAGTTTGTGAATATACAGACCGATGACATGCTCACAGTGACGACCCGACTGCTTTTAACTTGTACCAGGAACTGCTGATTACATGTTTGAACTTTTCGCTTCCGCACACAAAACTGTCCCCTAGGGGGTTCCGTTGGTGTAGTTTAAACTGCCACAGTTAAATATGTGGAAACAAGCTTAGCTAGGCCACTTACAGTCTTTTAAATATTTTTTTAATATATATGTTTCTTTTAAATTCAGTTATGGTAAAGTATCAGGCAGAAAGAGCAGTTTACCGTGTTTCACTCTTCACAAAGATTTTGAGTGAGCCTCTCCTAAGACAGCTGGGATAGGCCCCAGCCCACCGAACCTGAACTGGATAAGCGGAAGAGAATGGATGGAAATTTGTATGATTGATTGGCTGATATTAATCTGCACCAGTGACTGTAGAAAGCTCCGACAGTCATTGATCTGCACTGATTGTATGTTGATACGTGTTGGCCTGTTTTATCTGCTGAATTGCTCCAACAATCAACATTTTAATATTTTTATTCTAAACGAATGCTTTCTCTTTTATTTAATAGAGTTTCCTCAAACAAATGTCCCAAAGATTATAAAGCTCCTCATGCATCATAAGCAGTATATTTTGAAGTAGCCGCACAGTTGTATCCGTGAGTCCACAGCAACACCGTTAATCATTTTCATAATGGTCTGAAAGGTACTCTATTATAATATTGATAACAGTAATGATTGGATGCTCTTGTTTCAAGTTGCTTTCAAAAATAAAAAAGAACTGTTGAATTACTTGTCTTTAAATAAAGTACTTAATTAAAACAGTAATATTTTTTTTAATTAATTTAAAAAAAATCATAAAAAGGTGTACTCTAACCCTCTTCTGTCTCCTCCCACAATTATGTTTTCTCACGCGCTCTGAATAAATGATTTAATTGGCTGAGCGGCATCGCAGGGATTAGTTACAGTTCACGCCATTGGTCGGAGTGGAAAATAGAATATTATCATTAGAATAATAGATATAGATAGACACAATAGAATCAGCTTGTCATACTTTAGTAAAAGGCCCGAGTCCGCCTGTGGAGACTCAGGCCTTTTACTAAAACACCACGGGGACGCTTTCTTTTTTTAGCACTTTTATTTTGACAGGTATAGTAAACAAACACTGAATTGATAGCTTTATTTTGAAAACAGCAAACCGGAAGAGGTGCTGACGCAGGGTTGTTGCTGACAACGGTCTACGTTGACTTCAGACGCCACAAAGTGAATCGGTTGTAAGAGAGCGGCTGGATTATTACGGTAAAACAAATTTTATGATGCTGTGTTTGGTAGAAACTGAACATGTTAGAAGCACGCGGGGCTCACGCGCTGTGATGCTCGTGCGCTGTTAGTCGGGTGTTGTGGGGCTAATTTGTTGTGATGAGGTCATTTGTTAACACTGCGGTGTTCTGGTTTAGCCCAGCTAAGCGTCGTTTCAGTTACTGAAGCCTCACAGCGTATGAAACGCCATAAAATGTGCAGCCGTGTGCCGAATATGGTGAATGCAGCCGAGCCAGCTTGCTAGGCGGTTTGCTAATGCGTTTCGCTGTGTGATAATGAGCAGCGAGTGTGGCTGCGTTAGCCTGTTCAGCTTTTCTGAATCCGCAGCTACTGACACTGAAATGTTTCTCCCGCTGAGCTGTTTGGTAAAAGTAAAAGAGGTCAGCTGCTCACTTGTTGCTTTTATCGCTGGACTGCCAGCAGTGAAGGTGTCTGCTCAGCCCGCCAAACTCCGCTCGGGTTTAATGCTCTTCTCTCCTTCCCCCAAAATCATTCGTAGCATTTCCCAAAGATGACGTCTCACTTCAAAAATGTGCATATATCACACATTATCATGTTATGGTAGTGCATCAGTGTGTTCATAGCTTGCAGTGATGTCCCTTCCACTTACACACTACACTGTATTTTGTAGTTTATCGGTTATGATTGGTACTTACTGGAAAACTTTACATTCGACATTGAAAATAATGAGACAGCCTCTGGGTGTAGTTTTATACTGACGCAGAGGTTACAGAATCAGGCTGATGGTGTCTGTGAGCTACACCCTCTGCATAAACTGCCCTGGTGGCAGGCGGAGGTTCTGAATGGCAAACAAAATGCGAAACTATTCATTTTAAAATAGAGGTGATCAAAAAATGACGCGTTCTGCTGTCTTGTGACAGGATAAGCCAACAGTCCTTTTATGGTTGTGCCTTTCTTTCCTCCGGTTGAGCTAATTATTAGGATTGGATCATCTCTGGGCTTTAGAAAGGATTTTAGAAATATTAAAGTAACCTCAGTACTTTGAACAACCCGGGACACCAGTCACTGACTGCGTGCTTCATATCTGAAAAGCATGGTGGTGATTTTCCTTAAAACTCTGGAGTGCACTGCTCCTATGCTGGACCTGATCACACTGATTGGTCTGGTACTTGTGTGCAGTCACATTAACAGACAGACACACAGTTTTACAATGTTCAGCCACAGAATGTTTTTAAGTATAGTTGTGGCCTCAGTTATGTTAATATTACTAGCTGCAAAGTTCAGCCTCATGCCTTTGTCGCAGCAACTCTACGCCTGTGATATTTACCAAACCTGGATGTAAAAGTGACCCTTGCCTGAATTGCACAGTGTCATCATTTTGACTTCAAGCAGCCAGCAGTGTTAGGTGATCATGACTGAAAAGGCCTCTAGAGTATAAAGATCTTAAAATACATTTTATAAATAAATGTAACCCACCAAGAAGACTGGGGTGAAAGCTGCGTTGACGTGAAAGCTGTAGCAGTGATTTCAAACATCAGTGAGTTGCATGCAGGAGATGAAATGAGCTGTTCCTTACACATATGTCATGTCAGAAACAGTGGTTGCTTTTTTGTGGGATTTTTGGTTCCCATTGTTCAGGTTCTTCTTCTTTTTGTGGCGTCCCTCAGGTAAAAAAAACGTAAAATGAACTTCCCCAGCTAGAGGTGATTGGAGTTTAAGCTCAGTGTCAGTCTCTGGTCGGCATTAGAAACTGTGGAGTGTGTTGTGGTGCAGAAATGTTACTGCAGGTACGTGTGTGTGTGTGTGTGTGTGAGAGAGAAATGGAGAGAGGGAATGTTGCTGCTGCTTGCATGTACATGCCAGTATTATGTTTTTTTTCTTTTGCATATTTGATGGTGCATGCTGCTGTTAGGGATGAACCCTTTGGTAGTATTTAGACTACTGAAGCTGAAATGCCATAAAAGCATAAAATAAGTAGAGCAGTGTTTCACATGCAGAAATGCTCAGTAATAATACTGTGTCACTCCATGGCTTTTTTCTGCACTAGAGCTTTGCTAGGAATCATTTCCTGAGCCCCTGGAGCAGGCTTTGACTAAACTGCCCTCCTCAGCTGCTCTGCAGTGCTGAGAGAGAAGAGGAATAGAGGGGGCAGGGTGCTGTGCTCGCTGGATGCTTCTGTTAGATGCTCATATGTGCACAAAGTGGCTTTTTCTGTGTGTGTGTGTATATATATGTGTGTGTGCGCGCGCATGCACACATGTGGGTAGTGCAGCACGATCCACAAACAATGCCTCATGCATACATGGTGTTGTGGCTGGATGCACTGCATGGGCAAAGATACACAAGATTCAGCATTGTCATCATTTGTAACATGTGTAACAGAGATCCAAGGTTACAGAGTCACCGTACGTTCTATAGCTAGTAGTTCTTGCTAATGACCTACTAATTCTTTCTCAGTTGTGGTGCAGCAGTGGCATATTTAAACGTTTCAGGGCACCAGCCCTCTAGGACTTGAGTTTGACACCCAGGCCCTATCAGATCCAATCCTGAACTAACCTTGTCGACACTAAGGATGCAACTATCTGGTTAAAAAAACCAAGCAAACACAAAGAAAGCTACTTTAAACCGAGCAGAGAGGTGAAAATCAGCTTTCAAGGCTAACCCTTATACCCTGCTCACAAACCGTAGTCCTTGCAGTCCTCCCGGTTGTCTCCCAGTGAAACTCTGCATGCTTTGCGTTCTGGTTCCTCTTCTCCTGACCTCTGACTATTTAAACATGGGCGTCTCCTCCACCATCAGAGTGATGATCCTGAAACTTTAGCATTACATCTTTTCAGTGCTTCTCAACTTAAAAATCAAAAAAGCCAAATAGGCTCAATAAATTAGGCAAATAGCAACAGATCATCCAGTGCAGACAATAGGACTGAATGCCACGAAAGTAAACATTTTGAATCCAGAGCTGTCAGACCTGAAGTGCCTGGAGCGAGCCTACCTGTTTCAGTAGGAATGTAACCTGTGAAACTTTGTCATAGAAATAAACTCACAGTCAGGTTTGTGCCCCTGACCCACTGCTGTGACCTCCATTGGTCTGTTCAGTTTAGGAACTGAATGAAGAGAAAGGAAATGAGGAACCTGTTACTGTTCACATCATCATAAATGTTAACCAACATCCTCCCGACAGCTGCATGGTTACTGACTGACATGCAGATAGTGTGCAAACAGTTGCTTTTCACTCAGTTTGTCTGTGTGTGTGTTTGGCTGCAGCAATTGGCCGACTGTGTCTGCTGGTTAGTAGCGATATTTATTTAAAGCTACATGCTGTCAGCTAGCATAACATCACAGCTGTGTGTGTACGTTTGTGGGCATGAGAGTAAGAGTGGAGTAAATAGGTGGGGGATGGTAGATAAAAAGGAAGCATGTAGAAAATATGGGCAGTTAATAAGAGAGGAGAGGAGTGATGCAGTCATTAAACTGAGGAAGTGGCTCATGCTGTGTTTGAACCTTATTGTTGGAGCTCCATTTGAAAGTCATCAGACTGATGAATCCTTTCTTCAGATAGATCAGATATAAAGCTTTTTTTCTGTTTGCTGAAGCTAAAAAAACAAAAAGCAGGACCAAACTGTGGTGGCACTCTGAGACTAATCAGTCTCTCTGCTGCTGCACATCTCAGGCCACTGTTCAGCGTCAGAGTTATTCTTTTCATCGCTTTCTTCTTGCTTGAGAAGAAAACTCAGCAAATGATGTTCAGGACATTCAGCAAAAAGCTGCTTCCTGTGAGGCTCACTGGTTACTCGGGTTCAGGCCTGAGCTTTTCTGGTTTGTCACCAGTGAAACTGCCTGCTGGGTTAACCCTAGCCACACTAAGAACTCTCTCAGAAGAGAATCTCAGCTTCTAGAGTTTTACTTCCTGGTGAAATGAAGGTTAGAAAAAGAAATCAAACAGATTTTTAAAAATCTCCAAAAATGTGTCCCTGATACTGTTCTTGTACACAGAGCTCCAGAAACAGAAAGCATGCAGGAACTGATGGTACGTCACCACCTGGAGCATGGCCAAAGCTCCTGAGGGGGAAAAGGTGTCTTCATTTTTCTTGAACTAAAACTACTCAGAGTAACAAAAATCCACTGAGGGTTGGCACACCAGTGACAATAAAATCCCACACGCTCTTTGTATCACGTACCTGTGGTGAGTGGTCTATTTTTCTCATTAACATCTCCTTCAGCTGTGGGAGCTGTCACTGGGAGAGGTTTGTGCATCAGTCAATAGGCCAGCGGATGTTTTATTTATATGAATAAAACATCTGGAGCCCACCTCAGTTACCATGGCGAGAGAATCGGGGTACACCCTGGACAGCTCGCCAGCTAAACTCAGTGCACCTCCTGGAAGTAAAAAAGTACCAAAGCTTTACACAAAATGAAATCATATCAGCGCTGCTTTCGTCTTTACACTCTGCCACAGCTACCTGTGACTTCATCTTTGCAGACAAACAAGTTGTTTTTTCACCTTGTATTTATTTATCAAGATGCAAAATCTAAAGTACTTCATTCATTGGTTGCGTGAGGTGAAACTCACACAGTTGTGAGATCTCCTGATATAATGCAGGTGTTGGTGAGTTTAGTGTCTTCCTGCACAGGATGCTGTACATTCTTGTCCATCGTCAGCTCAGACGAGTTGATCAAGTTGATGTTGGGCGATTCATGTCAGCACACATTATGTCGTTTTTCTTGTCTTTCATGCATTCGTCATGCTGCAGTTTGTGGTATGTTTCTATAGGGCTGAAGAAGTTAGTTGTTACTCTGCAGTGCAGATCTATAGTAGTCTTTGCTTACGGTTTGTCCTTGGTTAACGTCACTTGGCTGAGGCAGATCTAATAAGCCAAAGGAAACTGTACGACCACCTCAGCATCGCTAAGATGTTCTGTGTAACTGTGTGCACTCTTTATTTCTGGAGGTGTGATCGGAATAATTAGAGGCTGTGAGAAAGGGATCGCGCAGCATTAGCCTGAAGATTACTGCTGTTGTCTGATGTTATTTAGATGGTGCTGATGCAGCATGTCACCCACTGCAGCAGCATCAATCACTAATGGATTTCATTCTTTCATCTTTTAAACTCAGTCGAGTTGGGTAACAGCGAGTGTGATAAAGGGACAGCGTATTCTGTGGAAGTTCAAATGTCTCGGGTTTCTTAGAAACTTCACGGAAGTGACTTCATGTTGCTTCAGTTGTGCAGAAATGTTTGATTTCATCTGGGCCTGATATAATGTCACAGCATCAGGTTCAAACACAGTTTGGCTGAGATGTGCTGACCTGAAGCGTTTTTGTCTCTTGCAGCTTGTGCGTGTATGTTTGAGTGAGCTGAACAAAGACATCGCTGTGCCGTCTGTGTGTATGTGAGAGCGCACGTGTGTGCGATGTCTTCAGAACTGCTGGTAGATGTGGGCGACGACTCTGCAACGGCGCAGCTAGGACAGCTGAAGCTGACTACCATAGAGGACCAGCAGTGGCCCGCTGACGAGTCTTTCCTCAGCAAGTCAGGTGAGAGGGATGTCTGTCCACACCTGCTGATGATGCCATGTTTCAAACGAAGGATTGTAAGAGCTCTGAGCGGCTGGGGTTAATCTTAAAATGTTACATACAAACACATTTACATATGAAGGACTTCATGGTGATGTAATGCTGTGATTGTTGTCTTGTATTAACTGTGTGTGTGTTTCAGAGGCAGATGTTTCCCAGCAGTTTGACGCCAGCTCTCCACACCTGCCCTGGGACCACCCTTTCTATGACATTGCCAGACATCAGATCATCGAAGTGGCCGGTCGGTTCTTCAGTCACAGCTGACCTTTCAGTCTGGAAATATATGTTTTTGAAAAGTAAAATCTTGTAGTGGAAGTAACGCGAGTCCATGTCTGCGTCCGTAGGTGATGACAACTTTGGCAGGAAGGTGATCGTGTTTAATGCCTGCAGGATGCCTCCGCAGCACCAGCTGGACCATCATAAGCTGCTGATGTAAGTAGTGACCGCAAACCTTTAGGCTTTGCCAGCATTTTTGTCATGTGACACGATGTAAGGAGAAGTGGTGGTCTTTGGTCATCACGCTGTATCTAAAGACAGGAAGTGTAGCTGCCTCCACCTGTGTGTGAGAGTGAATGAATAGTGGCATTGTACAGCGCTTTGAGGTTCTTGAAAAGCGCTGTATAAATGCGATCCATTAATGTTAAGAACAAGAACAAGATTTGCATCAGTGACACTGAGAGAAGATTAGTCCCAAAGACCGACAGCTGCTGCTGAAGGATCCGCAGAGCAAGCATTCGAGCCGTGGCTGAGCAGTCAGGTGTCAGTGGTGCTGGAAGTGTTGGTCGGTGGTCACCATTGTTCTACCTGTAGCTTCCACTGTGGGGCCTCTGAGGTGTACGAGTGTCTGACCTGGTCTGCCCCGCCCACTCTCGCCTTCCTGCTGACAGACTGGTTGCTTTTACAAAGAGCAGACTGTGATGGAGGTGATTGTGGTCTTGAAAAAATATGTTTTAAAGGTTATTTTAAAGACTGTAATAACTGCCTGATGTTTCCACAGTCGGGGAGTAATCATGTTATGAAATGGTGTATTCACCACTGCCCCAGATAATCATGATTGGAATGAATGGAGAAGGCATGGCTGTGTCTATCTTTGCTGTGTTTGGGTGTAACGAGTGATGCGGTGAACGTAAGGCTGCAGTTTTTAGAAAATGTTGTGAAGGCTCCTTCCTGTAGGGACAGCGTGAAGAGATTCACTCTTTCATCTGGTATGGAAATAGTTGATGCGAAGCCCTCAGGTGCAGTAGTTGCTAACCAACAAAGTTATTTGAGCAGATAAAGATATTTCTGCGTTTACAAAGACTTGCTCATGTTTTTCAGGTATCTCAAAGGAACCCTGGATCAGTATGTGGAGAGTGACTACACTGTGATCTACTTTCACCACGGGCTGACCAGTGAAAACAAACTTTCCTTCAGCTGGATACGGGATGCATACAGGGAGTTTGACAGAAAGTAATCTCCAACACATCACTGCACATCTCACTTATCATATTATACCTGTTTACAGCTGGTCCTACTGCTGCTCTTTGCATTTATTAACCTGATCAATGGCTTCTGCAGACTAACCTCTGCCTGTACCGGATGCATCAAAATTCCACACCAGGGTAAACTTATCCCAAAGCCTTCAGGCTGGCACCGTCCACTTCCATCACTGGATGTTTTAAACATCATGACTTTGCATAAAAACCTTTCTTTTCTTTTTAAATGTTACTAAGGTTAGACTTGTGCCAGCGTTCTCCTCTTTGAACAGAACAAATGAAGAAAAACAGGGAGTCATTTTTTTGTAAGAAAGTAATTTCTCTGTACTTCCTGTGAGCACCATAGTCCACAGAGGAAGTACAGACAGGACGAGTCGAGGAGAAAGGAGCCGTGCTGCACACGTGAGAAGCTCTGACTGTTTGTTTCCCCTCACTTCTGTATTTAAGCAGAGGTGCACAGTGTGCATCCACTGATATGGTACTGGTTTTTCTCTTGAATGCAGTGGAAACAAATACTGTGTGCGGTGTTTCATAAACTGCACAGTTACAGTAACATGTGCGGATGGCTTCAGCCATGTTCCCACTATTCAAAATAGCGAAGGAGCTGAGCCCTGCTTTTGTCTTTAATCACTTTCACCCAGTTAACTTGCACTTTGCACAGCAGCGGCGAGCACACCCACACAGCCATTCAGTTTGGCTGATAAAGATAAAAGCAGGTCTCCAGTTACATGTCCTCGCATTATTTTCACCAGCTCATCGCTGGCAGCACAGGATTCAGTTGCCTGTGTAACCTGTGGACAGCAGATTCCACAGATGCTGTCACGTTTCTGTGTATGCTCTTGTAATCGTTGTATCAAACGTGTGTTAGCACACCTTGTGAGAACATGTGATGTGTTTGCAGGTACAAGAAGAACATCAAGGCCCTGTACATCGTCCATCCCACCATGTTCATCAAGACTCTGCTGATCCTCTTAAAACCAATTACAAGGTTAGTTTCTGGTTTCAGGGATTTTTAAAGGACCATTATGCGCAGCCCCCGTGCACATACACACCGTTTTGTGCTGATTTTGTTACAAAGCGAGGCGGCTGTTGGGATTTGGTGCTGTATAAATAAAACTGAATAGGGGGGTGGGTGGGGCCTGCGTCACTCTGTGATCCACTTCCTGTTGATATAGGGAGAAATCTGACGACTGATTGTTGCAGCTGTGGCGTCCTGTTACAGTACGGCCCACTCTCTGACAGATGCACGGTTATAACACGTGGTTACGGCTCGATTTTATGCAGCTGTGGCTGTGAGACTTCAAACGCCTGACTTCAAAGGTTCAGAGAGGGTGACCCAGTACTTGAACTTATTATCCTTGCTGTGATGGAAAAGCCGTCTGTACTTGGAGCAACCAGTTCTAAAGTGCAACTTTTAATGTCAGTCAGATTTTTAATCCCTCATTGATTTTATGACATTTTCAAGGATTTTTTATATGCTTGATGTCGGGTCAGGTGCTGCTAATATAATCTGCCTAACGGGCAGCCATGGGTACCACACAGCATTATGTACTCCAGCATTACTCCTGTGGACTGTGGGTAAACACAGACTCCAGTAATGCTAAATGCTGATGAGCATGTTCCCTCAGTAAGCACAGTACAGTAGTGTCACATCAGTGTGCTTATGTGAGCTGATATCATTACACGAGTCCTTCCTGCGGTTTTCAAGAGACGTGTTTACTTTTGTAAATAGTCAACAGTGCAATAGACTCAATACTTGAAATGTGCAATTCACTTGTATTTTTTATTTTTTATTCCTATTTATTCTATTTATCCCCTTTGTATATTTTATTTATATTTGTTTCTGTATTTATATATATGTGTGTGTGTGTGTGTGTGTGTGTGTGTGTGTGTGTGTATATATTTATATATATATAACAATTCTGTAACTGTAACTTCGGTCATTGCTGTGCTTTTTTTGGAAATCGAATTTCCCAGAGGAACCCACCCGAGGGATTAATAAAGTTCTATCTTATCTTATCTTACATGATTGATGAATATGAATTTTGGGCCACTGTAACTAACATTGACAGAGCTTTAGCAGCATCTAGTGGCAGCAGTAGAAAACTGCAGCCATAAATGTGTCTGAAGTTCCTGCTTCAGGTTTGGTTCTTACTGGATACCAGTTTTATTTAAATGGCAACAAATCCCAACAACAGTCGAGGTGCTTTATACTGTACACATCATCTTGTAGCTATGCCTGCAGAGTATGAAGCGTTCCAGGAAGTGCACAAACGCCTTTAAATACTCTGACCAAGCCAGAGTTTTTCTGTTGTATTAATCACATATTTAATCATTTCACATTAGTAATAGTAATGTCACTGTCTCACTGCATGTTCACTGCAGAGTATGCTCTACACACACAGTGAGGCCATTGTAACGGGAGACGCTAAGCAGATAGTGGGACTCCTTCCCCTTATCAGGGATGTAAATATTCAGGTGTGAGAGGGGCCAGCATGTGAGAGTTGTGGCTTGTTCTTTGTTTGTATAAGAGTTCAGGGAGGTGTCCGTCCTCAGAACACTGTTGTTTGATCTGAACGTCTTCTCCACATTGCAACGTGTTAACTAAACCACTTCAAAACGAGCTCGCTGGGTTGTTGTTAAAATGTCCATAACAAGGTGCGCACATCATGTGCTACTTGCTACTTTCACTTTGTTACATTTCTGTTTTCATGGTTATAAAAAGTCTGAAGCATCATCACTGCTGCTCACAGATCAACCACTCGAGTTTTCTCTCTCTCAGCTTTAAGTTTGGCAGGAAGATCAACTATGTGAGCTATCTGAGTGAGCTGGAGGATGTGGTCAAGTGTGATCAGCTGGTCATTCCTTCCCGCGTCAGAGAGTAAGTGTTCCTGCCAAACTTCAGATGTGTGCCTTTCATTCAGTCTTCTCATTGCGTGATGCCAGCAGCACGTTTCACTGAGGGTTAAATGCCGCCTCCGTCTTATTATCCGTGTGCATGAGAAGTGAGGAGGCCGGTTGTAGTGTTGAAAGTGTTTGAACTCCTTGAGAGTGGCGTGTTGGAGCAAACACAGGAAGTGGGATGGTATTATCTTACTGAAAGTGGCTTCATCACAATCCAAATAACCGTGCAGTGCACCCTGATGTAGCCACACTGGCACAGCTGCTGGTTTCCCAGCTGTGTGCCGACTCCTTGTGCTCCACGCTAAACGAGCTGGAGGTGAGAGAGTGCAATTTGTGAGTCGTGCTGGTTTACAGCCCGCTCACTTGGGTTTTTCTTACCAGCAGAGTTTTTACATTCAAACATTTTCCCTCTAATCTTGGCTTTCTGAATCTAAAGTCAGCATGCATTTGTTTTTTTCAGGAAACAATGAGAAATCTCAGTTTCCACATATTATTGTCACTTTAAGCATCATCATTGCATCCTGTTCCAGGTGCATCTTCTTTGGAAATGCCCTCTGCACTGGGTACTGTCAATCTTTTCATTTGATTTGGGAATGCTTCCTGTGGTTGTTCTGCTCATGCACAATGCATCTTAAAAGGTGCCACTGATGGAGTTTATTCACTGCTGTGCTGCTTCCATTCTGTGGTTTAGGCAAACATTCAGGCACAAATAGTGAAGCCCTGTGTTACTTTTTAAAATCTCCCGTTGTCTCTGTGCCAGGTATGACAACAAATTAAGAGCATCTCTGAAACCCACCACACAGCCCCCCATGTCTCCTCCTCACAGCCCTCCTCTCCCCAGCCAGGTGTTTGGTGTGCCACTAACGCTGTAAGTGCTGATTCTGTAGTTGGAGAGAGACACAGCCCTGTGAGAGAAGCTTCCAGATAAAGGAAAAAACCTTTGAATCTGCTTGTTGTTTTAATGTGTGCGTGTCAGGCTCAGACAGAGGGATCCAGACGGCGATCCAGTTCCTGTGGTGATGAGAGACACCGTTGGCTTCCTCTCAGAGCAAGGTAACAAACAGAACACCTGAGCGAGCTCCTCCCTGAGCTGTGCCTGCAAGGAGCACACACGGCTGCCTCTCCTGTGCTTTTACTGGCTCACATCACTGTAATTAAAGCCTGCTGCACACACACAGGTGACTTTATACCTGTGCTGTGCTCTGATGCAGACTCAGGCTGTGCCTCGTTATGTCTGAAAGAAACACCTTTCTTTCTTTTTCACTGTGTGCGTCTGTGTGTGCGTCTGTGTGTG